GTGGCCACCATCATTATGGTCAGTTCTGACAGGCCTTGGTGGAACAGATGGGGACCTGAGCTAACCAAAAGGCCAAGAAACAAGCAGGGGAAGGGACCTGTACGAACAGAGGCAGGTAACAGGCATCATAAGGGGACCAGCATTACTGGAGAAGGGTGAGAAACGAGGCTGGCTGGGAAGGGACCAGGTTGCGCTGGGCCAGGCCGCAGAGGTTGTTGAACATAATGTCAGGAGAGCAGGGCGCTCTGAAGGCTTTTGCTCAGGGGAATGATTTGAACAAAGTGGTACTTAAAGATCAAATTGGCAGAAGCATACCAGGTGGAGTAGGAAGAGGAAAACCAGTTGGTGGCCATGCAAAAACAAGAGGTGGGACAGATAAGAGGGAATTTCATAATCAGAAAAAAAATGTGTTAATAAAAATGCAGATTCATTGGGAGGAATTTGGAAAAGATAGAAAGGTTAAAAGGAGAAAAATAGCTGCCCCAAATCCTGCCATCCGTCCAGAATGGGTCAGTGTTAACATGTTGGCATCGATACGTTTTCTCTCTCTCCTCCCCCACCCCCCTTCCTTCTACCCTCTCATCTCCTTCCCTCTCCTTTCTCTTGTTTTTCAGATGAGAATTTTCCCCTGTATAATTTTGTTTTTAACGTCATAACAAACACTTCCACCTGTTTAGAAAGTTTTGTGCCCATCGGTCATTTCAGGAGTTGTTTAGAAGGCAGAGCTTGTTGCAAATGGAGAATGGAGGTGGGAGATGGACGCGGCTAAACTTTTGAGCCTCTTACACAATTACCTCTTTGGCGAGACTCAGTCTGTGCCAAGCTCTGTGTTGGTTGCTTTACTTGGGTTATCCTAATTCACTTTCACGGCTTCTTAGGGTAGGTTCCAAAGCTGTGTAGCCGTTTTGGTGGTAACTCTGAAACCAGCAAGCCAGCAAATTTGTTCTTTCAACTCCTCCTCTAAACTCTTCCTGTCTAGGTATCTCTTGTTAACTGCTGTGCTTGAGATGGTATTTAAAGGCCCTAACAAATTGACCCATGGGACTATGGTCATACTACAAATTGCACTGTAAGCATTCTAAAACATGATTAAGCTAACAATGGAAATCCAAGAATAGCCTTGGTCACTGTTAATCCCCCTTAAGCATGCAGTCCTAATATTTTGAATTAGGAGAAAATCCCAGCGAAAGAGAAATAATAGGAAACATTAAAATTTTCTCCTTTTTAATGCCTGGGGTATAGAGTTTCTTTTTATTCACATTGAAGTATTGTATTTCTTTAAAACATGAGCATATTAACTCTGGATTGGGGGAAAGGGTATTAGATTTTAAGATTAGTTTCTGAATTTGCCCACCATTTATATTTTTGCTTCATTTAGAAAAATAAGGGGGAAAAATAAGAAGGAAAATATGATATGCATATCATTTCACCCTCTTTTGTAAAGCAGTATTTGTAAACACTGATTGGAAGTTTATTTAGTAAAAGCAGAAGGGCAAATTTGTGAGCACTCTGGACTTCATATTTGTTTTTCTCAGTTTAGAAAACAGGAATGCAACCTTGGCCTGACTTCTTTCCTTACTTCCAGTACTTTTGAAATGGTTAAAATAACCCTAATCTGGAGATCACTTTAAAATATCATTTAAACATGATGGTGGTTCTACAAATCCATATATATTGATGAAATTTCATAGACACAAAGACATACTCGTTCTCTGGAAAAAAAGCGCATATAAAAGCTGGTGAAATAGTCTAGTTAATTGTAACCTACCAGTGTCAGTTTCCTGGCTTTAATAACACACTATTGTCATGTAAGATGTCACCGTTGGGAAAAGCTTGGGCAGTGAGTACCCAGGACTTCTCTCTTCTGTTTTTGCAATTACTAATCAGCCTATAATTAATTCAAAATAAAAAGTTTTTGAAGAATCTGTCAATTAGGGGCAGTTTGAAAAATGATGTTATATCCATGGTA